CCAGAGGCTTTATAGGAGCCTGGGGAGGGCAAAAGCAGCCTCCCCTGCCCCCCCCCAGAGGCCCTCTGGAGGCTTCAGGAGCTCCCCTGAAGCCTCTGGAGCGCAAAAAAACAACCATAAGGCCAAACCGGAAGTTTGGGAACGGACTTCTAGTTTGCTCATAGGGCTACTTTTAGTCCTTCAGAGCCTTCAGGGACCTTCAGAAGGCTTCCCTGAAGGCTCTGGAGGACTAAAAACAGCCCTATGAGCAAACTGGAAGTGAATTCCGGTTTGTCTGTTGGGTTGTTTTCCGGAAGACCCCTGAAGGCTCCCAAAGGCTTAAACTGGCCCTAAGAGCAAACCGGAAGTCTGTTCCTGAACTTCCAGTTTGCCCGTAGGGCCATTTTTTTGCACTCCAGAGGCTTTAGGGAAGCTCCTGCTTTCGCCCTCCCCAGGCTCCTATAAACCCTCTGGAGCCTGAGGAGGGCGAAAAATGGCTTTAAAAAAGGCTGAATTCAGCTGGCCAGCGTGCGCATGAGCGCTGGTCAGCTGATAGGGCAACACCTCGCGTGCCCTGACAAATGGCTCCACATGCCACCTGTGGCATGTGTGCCATAGGTTCGCCATCCCGGGTATATAACAATGGCTCACTATCTTTTGTTGCACTTCATACGCTTTCAGGTATATCCTATAAAACTCTGTGAATATACGTAGTTTCCTTTTTATTTTGTCTAAGCACATTTAATACAATTTCTTTTACTCCTATTATTGGAAATCAGCTGGAGATACTTGTTGTTAAATATAGTTAGAAAAGTCTATAGGTCCATTACTCATATGAGAACTAACTCTTAGGAAAATAGTACTGATGATTCAGATAAAGCTATGAAGACTTGGTTTTGCCAGCAGGCCTGGGAAAACGAGTGGGATAGAGGCCATCAAATGGCTTATTTGACTATGTGATGTCATGGGGATGTATTGTGTTAATTTTTTTTTCTATTCTGTGTTTTTATTGTTTGTAAATCGCCTAGTCACTGAGTAACCAGCTATATAAATTTTCTGAAAAAATAAATCTGTTGTCCACAAACCTGATCTTTTTAGCCATGATGTTGTGAGTCAGAAGTGTGTGTGTGTGTAAAACAATTGTTCAGATGCATATTAGTCCAGTGAAGATGCATTTACTCTCACAATATTCCAGTTTTCCAGTATTATCTTGAACTTAAGGAAACAACTTCAAGTCTAGTCTGTGTGGCAAAACAGTATTATAGCACCACCTATTGGCCTATTTCAAGTACTTATATAAAACAAAATACTATATTGTACTTAAAATGCAGAAATTTGTCACATAGAAATGTCATTAATTTCAGTTAAGCAATGTAAAAAGGGTAAAGAACATTTTCAAAGTGAAGTTTGGGTTACTCTCTAAAGAAAACTTCTAACACATACAGTTCCTGAAAAATTGAAACAATAGACTGCAAAGCAAACTACTATAATAAATTAGAGATGAATTATTCTGCAAAATATGAAAACTACTCATTGAATGATTAGGAAAAATGGAAATTTATATTTTGAGAACTATAGGTGACTAACGATCTTATATTATAGTATTCTAGTACACAATTGCTTATATCTAACTGGATGAAAATAAAGCATATTTGCCACTCTATTCACACAAATCGACACCCTAAATCAAGTCTTAAAAATCAATCATGATTAAAAACAAGTAAAAAAAAACCTTAGTCTGCTTTAATACTGATAACATTCAGCTTTATTTTAGGATTCTTTTACAAATGTGATGCAATTGTTAGTGCATAGACTGTGGTATACAATTAAAAGAAGCAATGCAATCTGACATATTTCTACACATAAAAACAGGAAGAACAACTTACAGAATAAAATCAGTTTCACAGGTGGCCAGCATCTGTGCAAAGTTAAATCATTTCATTCCTTGCAGTAGCTATAAAAATTTTCTTGCCACAAATAAAAGTTACATATTTTCACAAGATGGTCCCTTTCTGATAAATTGAATGAAAACTTCAGTGGATTTATGTACAAGAAATATCTAACATTTCTATATAAAAGTTCTTTGTATTTGTATGACACAAAAAGAACTTCACCCATTCTCGGGTTCACAAATCAATTTACATTTGGTAACTGACAATGAATAAACTATGTTTCAGGTTTTTCCTAACTTTTGCAAATACTATTTCCAACTTCAAGCAAACTTAGTATCTTAAGGCAAAGTGATATTCTTTCATTCTGAATAGCCAACTTTGTAAATTCTACAGACTGAGAAAATTCTGGATTCGGAGGCATTTCTTTAAGAAGCTGTGTCACAAGTTGGGCCTGATCTGATGCTAATCTTGCCAACTGATAGAGCTTTCTTTGCTCACATGAACTAACATGAGTCACTGGTATAAGCAGAAGGAGATGTTTACTGAGCTGACGTACCTCCGTTAACTTCTCAGCCCAAAAATTTGTTTGTCCTTTGTCAAACAGGTAGTCATTTCCCATCTTCAGAAAAAGAAAAAGAAATGTTTACAATTGCCTAGATCAAATAAACATGCAAGAATGAATGCTCATATGTTATATAAGGAAACAAAAGTGTTAGATGTACAGTACAATCAGAATATACTGTAGTCGAATCAATAAAATTCATATCATGTTTGAACAACAGAATAACATCAAGCACCCTATTGTTCATGAAACCCAGAAAAGAATGATACCCATTCCTTGCCCTTATGACTGACCACAGAGATTTTCTTTGTTTCCTTCCTTCCCTCTACTCTTCAGCCTGGCAGTCATTTATCAAATTACGGTAAGTAACCTAGAGATTTTGTCATCCTCTTTCCAGGCATGCAATAAACTTAGCATAAGAGGTGGTTAAATGGATTGAAAATTGGAGGGCAGAGGTGGAGTCTTTCAGCACCTAATGTCGAGGGCAGGGGGGGTGGGATCAACAAGTCTGTCCCTCCCAGCTTTGAAAGAAAAGTGGCTTTCTGGGTGTGGGAGGGATTAAGCAAGGGAAAGCTTTTGGAAAATTCATCCTGAAACTGCCACCTTTGCATACAGGTACAGCTACCTTCCCCAAAGCCTAGCAAGAGCCAGGAGAGGCTTGTAGTTTCCAGACAGCCAGCTGATTGGGGCAGAGGCCCAGTCCACAAGTGCGGCTTCATCGGCCAAACACAGAGGCTTGTTTGGAAGCCTCTCCAGCATAGGAACACAGTGCTGGCCCTAATCTAGCTGGGCTCTTCCTCCTGCTAGGCTGTTTCGGTTTTGCAAGGCTTTTTGCTGCTTATCTGCCTCCTTTATGGACTCAGTTGGGTGGCAGACCCCCCCCCCCACTTCTTGAGGTATCCTATGCTCATTTAAGGACTGATGCATTTAATTAACAGTGGTATCAGGGAGAGCAGAGGGTGGAGTTATTAAGAGAGGTTCTCTGACTGAACAGTTGTCACCACTTGTCTCCATAATGAGCAGGCTTCATTATGGTTATAGATCGAGAACTACATGTATATTCCTATAGCCATATACTGTATCAGATTCATTTGAAAAAGAAAGCTACCAGCATATTTTTTAATTATTATTTTTTGCTTAATGTTATTGATGTCATGGGCTTTTAAAAACTCAATTAATTCAAAGAATCTCTGAATTTTGATCAAATTTACAGAATGTGACATACATTGCCCTACTGTGTTAGTTTATTCCAATATCATTTGATAAATCAGAATAGAAGAATCATCAAGTTTGAGATTATAAACTTTGATCATCCAAATCTGGAGGCTAATTAAATTCATAGGTGAATTCACTAAGGTAAATATGTGAAATTACTAATTAAAATTATACCGTGCTAATGATGAAAGTGAATTTTCAATGGAAAAAAGTTTTCATTGTTAATATTGATTCTAAGCCGCTTTCATATTTTAAAATAACATATCTTGAGTAATTTAGTATAAAATTTGATAAAACATCTGCGAACTATACAGTACAGAAACATGGGTTGACAGACTTACCACAATTGTAGATTTTAGATCTTTCAAATCATCATCTTTTAGCAGCCACTCCAATAAGACTGAGATTCCAGCACCCGTCTGTCCCCATAGCTGTAGCAGTTCACAAAGTAAGGAGAATGCTAAATCCAAAGCTAAGGCGGCATTTACTACATGGAAATCAAGTTCTCCTGAGGGAAATTAAAGAGAAATTGTGAACGGTATGTTTTTTAAATAGTACAGTATAATTATTAAAATGCAAATGCAATAGACATCTATTTATTCTGAATCAATGTTAAATCGTGGTTTACATCGGGGGGGGGGGGGGTTTCCATCCTTGCAAACTTTATGACTTGTGAATTTGAACTCCCAGAATTCTAGAGAATTCTGAGAGGTGAAGTTCACAAGTCTTAAAAGTTGCCAAGATTGGATAACCCTGGCTGATATCATTAACATTTCCATAACATCTTTGGATCCAACTGATAAATGTCTGAACATCTACCTTGGCTCTTTTTTTTAATCTAAAATCAATCCACACAAATATTGGTACTGTTTACAATACACCATCTGAATGCTAGCTATATACATACATTTCAAAATTCATAGGTTAAAAAATACATGATTTATTTATCTATTTAAACTGGGGAATCAATTTCCTTTTTTGCATAGATATGTACCCCCAGCACTCATTAAATTCCCTGAACCCTTCCCAAAACAGATCTTGCCTCCTTCTGGAATATTACCCCTTATCACATCAAGAAAAGTGTGATGTGGTTCCCAAGCTGACAGAAATTGTGTATCTCCCTGCATGTAGTAGTGCTATGTTTGTTTGCATTATCAGTGAAAAATCCTGGTTGTCAGCTACACAGAGACATAAATTCAAAACAGGTAAAGGGGGAGGGGGAAAGTTCCATTAAAACATGAAATTGATTATTCAGTATAATTATAAAATGTATTGCTCATCAGTTTTCAGAATTGTAAATAATTGTAACATTTAATTAAACCTAGAACGTACATTTTGCTTTCACCAGGAATTACATAGTCTCTCTCTCTCTCTCTCTCTCTCTCTCTCTCTCTCTCTCTCTCTCTCTGTGTGTGTGTGTGTGTGTGTGTGTGTGTGTGTGTGTGTGTGTAATGCTTACTGATTCTATTTGAAGATTATTATTCTTTTAAAGTATTTTAAGTTTCAAGACAAGTGCTTTTTTAAAAAGATAGGACTAAAGTGTACTGAGTCATCCTTTTTAATCCATTTACTGTACAACTAGCCTCCCACACATGTACTCATTTACAAGAAGGTCTTTAATGTGCCAGATATAAATATTTCTCTTGTACACTATTGTACACAAATCATGAAAGTATGAAGACATTACTTCCAATTTTACTGACTGATCATATATAAACATTGAAATACACAACCTTTAGTGTTAAGAATGGGGTATTAATGAAAAGAAAAACATTCTATATGGCAGATAAACTTTTGTTTGTATACTATGAGGAACTAAATTGAACTTAACACAAACGAACAGTGTTGAGTGCTGATATTCTAAATTTAATGCAAGTATACATTGAATTAAATTCAATTACAGTAATTTCTCCAAGTCTAGTTAGTTGCTCCATTATTAAAGAAGCCCACTGTATTGTGATGAGAGGATGAAATATTTCCTTATTGACATCTGAGGTCAGTAATCTAAGTGGTCTAAGTAGAGTCAACATAAAGTTTTACTGTAATTTAATTATGCTAGTTGGTGTCTGGAATTCAAGCAAAGGAAAAGTCTTCTATGGCCTTCTATATATAAAGGAAAGTACATGCCTAGTTCTGGTGCTGACAAGTATTTAACATTGTATCCAAGTTATCTAGAGTAGAATCTTACCAGATTCAAAACTTAAAACTGATATTTTCAGTACTTGCACCATTATAGACATTTTAGGCATTTTACCATTTTCACCAACTTGCCTTCCAATGATTGAAGCAGTTTTATGCTTTCCCCAAAATGTTGCTTACCAATGCTGTCCACATTATAATGAAGCTTTCTGAGAAGCAATCAGCAACTTAGGTCTTTTCTTGAACGGCCCTGTTACTCAATACACTGGTCAGCAGGAATTCCCAGAGGGTATGCTAAGGATATTTATCAGTCACTTCTTTTATAACTGTATATAAAGCCTGCCTAGTTAGCAGAAGAAGAAAAATATTTCTTATATGTTTGACTAGCTGTTAAAATATTTATTAAATTTTACTAGAAAGGAATTTTTGCAGATCTTGTTTGTTCAACTTATTTACTTGTGAAGTGTTCATTGAAAATTACATCGGGAGGAAGTACTTTACTATGGTTTACTAACTCAAAGAAATGTTGGACAACAATAATGTTTGAAACAAAAAGAACACTGGAAAATATATAGGTCAAGAAGTTAGTTACCAGTTTGCTTCTTTAACTTTGATGCTACTCTGATCAAAGGTCAGTAATATTTGTAAATTCAGGTTCCAATATCATTCATTAACACCACAGCAGTCATAAGGGAAATATATATAGATGTGCTGAAGAATTTTCTATATTCCAACTCAGTAGCTTTTTATATAATAAATCAAAACAGCTGGAAGGGACCCAGTTGGTGATGTCCCAGTCACTTCCACAAAGATAGAATGCTCTGCCTATTGAGTAAGCACAGACTTGTAGTAGAAACAAACTTCCGATAGTAAAACCACTGCTCATGCTGTCCATATATACAAGCCAAGATATTGCAGTTGAGTTTGGGCTGGACAAATGTGCCACCCTCACCACCAACAGTGCCCTATGGAAGAGGCTGCCTCTGTTGGAAAGCTGATCCTTGCATTGGCTGAGCACTTCTTTCAAAAGCTGAAGAAAAACACAAATATAAGTTGGGTGCTGCTGGTTTAGGAACAGCCGGTGTACTGACAGCTGCCACAGCTTCTTGTGTGCTAGTAGCCTCTGACCCAGCCTAGGCTCCCTTGGGTGGATAAATGCAAAGACTGCAGTGACTCAGCAGAATGGGATGCAGAGGAGATGGGGAGTGGGGCACTATAGTCAGTTCATAAGGAGTATGATCATGTGGGGTCTGCAGCAGCTCTAACTTTGAAACCAGGTCATAGGTAGCTTGGAGAGTGCATCTTAACTTCAAACAGTCACTAAAACAACCAGACATAAGTTGAGGACTACCTGTATTGTAATACATTCCAACTCTATTTGATGTCCTGAAGGCAGGACAAGAAGTAATGGATGAAAGATCATTAGATCCAACCTAGAATTGAGAAATTTCCTGACAGTGAGAACAATTAATCAGTTTAATGGCTTGCCTTTAGAATCTGTGGGTGGCCCATCACTGGAGGCCTTTGAGAAGAGATTGGACAATCATTTGTATGTAATGGTATAGGTCTCCTGTTTGAGCAGGGAGTTGGACTAGAAGACTTCAAAGGTCCCTTCCAACTCTATTATTCTATGTTCTATGACCATGCTGGTGAACCTATGGTACGTGTGCCACAGACGGAATGAGGAGCCATTTGTTAGGGCACGCAAGGCGTTGCCCTGTCAGCTCCAGCTGACTTTGGCCTTCTTTTAAGGCCGGGTTTGGCCCTCTGGAGGCTTCCTTGAAGCCTCTGGAGCGCAAAAAACCAGCCCTATGGACAAACCGAAAGTTCAGAACTTTACTCGTAGGACCGTTTTTCGAGCTCTAGAGCCTTTAGGTGGCTTCCCTGAAGGCCCCGGAGGGCAAAAAATGGCCCTACGGGCAACCCAGAAGTTCGGGAACTGTGACTTCCGATTTGCTCGTAGTGCTGTTTTTCTCCCTCTGGAGGCTTCAGGGAAGTTCCTGAAGCCTCTGGAGGGGGCCTCCGGGGGGGGGGGGATGCTGTTTTTGCCCTTCCCAGGCTCCTAGAAAGCCTCTGGAGCCTGGGAACAGTGAAAAAAGCACACCAAAAGCAAGGGGAGTGCTGGTTGTGTGCGCGCACATGCAGGGGGTTCAGGCACACACACACGCTGGAGTCATGCGCATATGCACACTGGGGTCATGCACATAGCATTATGGGTGTGAGCACACATGCACACGACCCCACTACACTCCCCCCACTTTTGCCACACGATCCAAAAAACTGATATCGGGGGGGGGGGGGAGTAGATAGAATGAGAACTTTTTTAGCAATTTTAGCCTTAAACCAGGACTTCCTAGTAGGTAACACCATAAAAATAAAATTAACTTTCCTATATGCAAATGATGCACCCCAAGCACACCACTATCAGAAAACCAGCACATAAACAAAATGTAACCATTAGGCATGGTAAAAATAACTAAATAATAAGTGTAAGTATAATCTTTATTGTCATTGTACTTAAATACAAAGAAATAAGACTCTCTAGCTTCTAGATAGTAGCCCACAATTTCCACAAAGCTACAATTGTACAATATAAGGAATGACAGCCCATTAATTCCAATATAATTTACAAGTGAAGCATCTAATTTTGCAGTCTGTCTGCTGTGTCCCATTTAGTTCTCTTAAAACTGACATTACCGCTTGATCTGGTTTGCCAAGAACACTATACAAGTAGTCATCAACATACAACCATTTGTTTAGTGATCATTCAAAATTATGACAAATGCTGAAAAAAAACCCTGGTCCTTATAATTGATCCTCACATTGTCACACAACCTGCACATTCACATGATTGCAATTCAGGTGCTTGGCAACCATCTTGCATTTTCAACTGATTGCAGTTGTCCTATGGTCACATGTTTGTGATTTGCGACTATTTTTGCTAGTTTCTGGCAAAAAACCCACGCATTTGGAAAAACTAGTTTGCACTTACAACTATGGATTTGTTTAATGACCACAGTGATTCACTTAATGACTATCATAGAAATGGTTGTGATATCAAGTCTCACTTGACTTATGATCCCAATGACCTTCAATGGAAATTCTGGTACCAATTGTGATTGTAAGCCAAAGACTATCTGTAATTTGAACCAAATATTACATCAGAAATCTTACTAATATAATTTTCTGAAATCTCAATATAAATCCAATAATGTATAACATTATGCATAGATAGTATTAATTCTTTAAGAGATACATTTATGCAGTCATTTACTACTTTGGAATGTTGAGCCTATTGAGGCTGTAAAAGAGCATTATTTCAATTTTGCTTTGAAAAAATATAAAAATGGACATCAGTGTTTGCATCCTTAAATCCTCTGTAAATTTCCTAACAGGAAATAATATAAGTAATCTAGGTGTTACCCTCCATTTCTTAACCGTGTTTACTTACTTCAACATGAAACTAGAAATTCATTCAGCTTGTCTAAATTACATTTCTTACACAAAGTGTTTATGATAGCATCTGCCTTAGGATAATGATATTTTATTTAACTAGCTGTCATTTTTAAGGGATGCCATTTTATTTTTATGCTCTTTAAGTGTGACTAAAAATACCAATGCAGATTTTCCAATCCTTACTTTCATTTGTCCTCAGACTTTCTTATCTGAAGTACTCAACAGAGCTTTTAACACTCCAATGTGTCTTGACAACCATCTTGTATTAACGGCAAAGTAACTCACAAAAATGCTGCTTCCAATTTGGTTGAGCAGCATCTACTATTAATTCCTCAATAGTTCCTCATGGCAATGAAAACTTATTTGGACAAGGATAAAGTACAGGTTTACTGCCCATTGGTTAACTTTTGAAATATTCATTAGGGTATTGATGATCTTGATTAGTACTGATGATCTTAATTAATTTCTTGATTAGGATAATGTTTTCTGATTTATTGTTTGTTATTTACACACGTCAAAAGAGATAATTAAAAAACTAAGGAAACAAAAAGATCCTCATTCTAGCTGCCCACACCCAAATAAATAGAGCTTAACACTAGACAATCAGCATGAAAACAATATTCAATTAAGGAAATCAAGACCCCTGACTATCTTTTCAAGTTCTCTAACCCTTAACTTATACATCTATTTCAATCCCACTTTTAAATTCTTATTTAGTCTTAATGATTATTTGAGCAGAGAGTTTTCACACTTACACACCCTTCAAAGTTCTATTAAATCACTTGAAAGAAAGATAGGAAAATCTCTGATGTTAGACATAGGCCCTTGAATTCATCACTGCCAACTACAGAGGATGTTATCAAATCATGAGTTGCAAGTGTGATTTCCATACATCTACCTAATGCTTAAAAAAAACTTCAGAAAAAGCAACTTAATTGCAACAACTTTTTAATTTATCATGTTTTATCCTTGTGGCTGATGCTTGCTTTTAACATACTCTTATTCTGAATAACATATCAAAAATGAGCATAGGATCTATTGTAACAGCAGGACAAGCTGTTTGCTAAAGCGAAAGAGATGTATGAATTCTCTGTACCACCTTAATAAATTTTAATACTGTTAAGAACACACATATTTGCATTTACTGATTTTTGTGTGTGGGGGGGGTGTTTCTTACTTACTTCAATATTGAGGCTTCTGCCTTCTTTAATGTGTATGCACAGTCCAAGAAGGTCAGTCTATTTTCCCTAACATCCTCCCATATTGCCATCCGCAGTATTAATGTTTTTAGTGAAGGCTTCCCACTTCCAGTGGTTTGACCAAGCATCAATTATGCATCTCTACCAGTGTGTTGGCAGAGTTCCTGTGAAAGAGTTTAATGCTCTGATAACTACTTCTTCCATGTAGAGATTGGCCACAATGGGGGACACCAGCAATCAAATATATTGTATGACTGGTTGCAACCCACAAAGAAGATAAAACTAGCACTTTCACGGAAGTCAGTCACATATTATTGATCCCTGGAAAATAATTTCTTACCTGTTTTCTTAAGTGTATTTTCTTGAGACAGAGCTAGTCTTATAACTCCAACAGCTGTATCCCTGACTATCTGTTCTTCGCTCTGCAACAGCTGAACAACACATCTCCAAAGGAACAAAGTGTCAGAAAGACCTGAGTATTTGTAGGAAGACATGTTAGAGCTGGATTTAAATACATGTTTATAAAATAAACATATTTTTTAAAAACCATTACATATTAAAGCTAAACAGACTTTCAGAATATCATGTGTCATTTTCCCTTTTGACTTTTATCCTAATGGACATGCAGTCCAAGCTATATTCAACTGGTTAAAGGCAGGCTGCTATTAAATATATCCCAATACAGGTAATCCTTGGGTTATAATAGCAATTGGAACTGTGATTTCTATTGCAAAGCGATGGACTTGTAAATCATGATACCACATGACTTCAACATTTACCAATGGCAATCCTGGAAGTTTCTGTTGCTGTTGTAACACTATGACCATGAAAGGCATTAAACTGAAAAGGCAAGTGTCCTAGGAAAGGGGCACAGAGGAATAGGTTATGTTGCGGGTGGGCTGGCATGGGCAGTATGTGGGTGCTGAGAAGTGTGGGTGAGTTTGGGGATGATTGCAGCAGAGCTGGCAAGGGCAGCAACTGGGTGCCGAGACGTAGAGGTGAATTTGGGGGTGATTGGGTTACTGGGGCTCCTTAGGGAGAAAAAGTGGTATAACTGACTTCACTGGAGTGACTTGTAAGTATCACATATCTGTCATTTGCAGCAATGTCATAATCATGAGCAAGGTGCTCATGGGCCCAGATCACAATTACTTGAACATCAGGACCTGTGATCACAACTTCACAGATGCAAATCCCCTTTCTTCGTTGCTTTATTTTTGAACCGTTGCTGAATGAATTATTGTAAGTCAAGGTCTACCTGTATTCTAAAACAACATTACTCTAAATCTAAAGTATATGTGTACATTTTTCCTGCATATTTATTTATTTATGACTCTGGTTTTTATACCAAATCAAAATAAATCTAAGGAGTGCACCATAAAACATCAAGAATCTCAACAATACATGAATTAACAAATAACATCAATAATCAAGAATAATATCATCTCAAACACCTCCTCTTCATCCATCCAGAATGATTTTCGTAGCAGCACCAATCATCAGGTATGTGGTTCCTAAATATCACGAGTAAAGGCCGAGCTCTGTATGGTGATAAGGCATTTCTGAAGGATGGAGCTCCTGCAGAAAATGTCTGCCTGTGAATCTCCTCCCATTGCACCTCATATGGAATGGGAACCCCACAGCAAAGAAATCTTGGGAAAACTACTTGGAATAAACAGTCGCACAAAAAATTACCCCAAATCATGAAGAATTCTAAAAGTGATTACCACAACCTTAAACAATACAGAAGCAGCTTAACCAAGAAGTAAGCATAAACTATAAGGCTTGACTGTACAAATTTCAGGGTGTGTTTTATTGTTATGTTGTATTTAATGACAGTGAAAAATAAATAACTTTTGCTTATTTGGTTTGCCTAATTACTTACCCAAGGGAAGCTTCTGATCAGTCAGGAAAAATGGTGTAATGCTCACAAGAATCTCTGCAGCAGCCAATCTCCGATCTGTTTGTTGTTCATCTTCACAGCAACAACTAACTAATTCAAGCCATTGTTTTGTCTCTGACTCAAAGTCCTACAAAACAAGTGCCATTAAAACTATTGCAATAGCCATCAATATTTTGTAAAATCAGAACTTTGTGCACTGGATAATTTCTAACACCCAAATTAATGGTCTTGTAAATTAACTGCTAAGAGCCAGCTGATATATTGATTAAAGATCCTGGACTAGAAAGTATAAAACTATGAGTTCTTGGTTTATTTTAACAACTAGCAAAATGATTTAAGGCCGGTCACTATCTCTCAATCCTAAGAAAAAGGCAGTGGCAAACCATTTCTGAAATCCTTGCCAAGAAAACCACAGGCAGTCTCTAGAAATCACTACTGACTCAAAAACAAGAAAAAAAATTAAATGCTAAGAGTTTACAACATTTATATTATATACACAAGGAAAAATGGAAGATTATTTCAATATATGATTACTGTATACACAGAGAAGATTCAACACTACCTACTAAGGAGAAATGAATAGGTAAAGTTGACAGATGGTGGTGAAATGGATGAATTTCTTTGATTAGAGAAAATACATTATCTACATCATCTGATGACTGGAAACCTCGTAGACTTTTGTGCAAAATTGAAAAAGAACAATTCGTGATTTATGGTTTTGATGATTAGATAAGATATATTATACACAAAAAGTGTAGTCTGATGTGATTTCAGAGAGTGTTTAAAATATATTTCTTCTTATAACTGTTCTGAAGAATATTAATAAAAATATTAAAGGGTACTTCTTATATCTTTTTTCTTCCTTTTCTATTTTTCTTCAACTTTTTTGTTCTCTTGCAATTTTTGCTTTTTTCATTCCTTCCTTTATATTAATTTGTGTTAGTTTTTAACTTCTTGTTTAAAAGTACCAATAAATATAAATATACTAGGACCTGGTGGGTTTGGGAAAGGGGTGCTTGTACTTTGAACACTGACTAAACATGGAGCTTTCCTTGAAGAGTGTGCAGAAGCTCTAACTGGTTCAAAATGGAGCTGTGCGGGGGCAGTTAGTTATGCATGTTCTGCAGTCTGTGCATATTGCGCTTTTGCACTGTGAGCTGCACTGGCTGCTAGTTTGCTTCCAGGTTCAATTTAAGATGCTAATAATAACCTATAAAACACTATAAGGAGCAGGTTACTTGGGGGATTGCCTCTCCTCCATTACATCTAATCATCCCATCAGGTCTGGCAGGAGGAGCATGTTGCAGGTCCTGCCAGTCAGGAAATTTCATCTGGCAGGAACCAGAAAGAAAGCCTTTTGTGGCCTGGCAACCATTCCATGTAAAATCATCTCTCCCCCATCTATACACACACACCACACACCCAAAATCACCACCACAGGGATAGGATTAACTCTGACCGACCTGACTTTTTGCAAGGCCCTGAAGACATGATTTTCCCAATAGGTACAGGGGAATGTGGTGGAACTGGTGCAGTAATTGAACTGATTCTTTTGATGAATGGGGTTACCTCAGCTGTCAGTTGTATGTATTTATGATTTTTGATATACCTTTATATATTTTTATTTTAAAAGTTATTTATTTAATTCAAAACATTTATATAACCTCCTTTTGTATAATTCATAAAAATATTGTGTTTTATATAAATAACCAATAATGAATATTCAGCCTTTCCAATTGCATAAATTAAAAAAGGAGCATATGCAAAAAATCCAAAACCACTTTAGTGTCCATAAAAAATTAAATCATATCAGCAATTAAAAATTAAATTGTAAAAGATAAAAGCTAAGACAAATTATTTTCTAAAGTTCTGTGAACATTTATATTAGAATAATCCAGAAACCTTCCTCAGTTTGTTAGGATTAAATTCCTAATGTCAGGTTGTTTATACATGAATCAATTAATGTAAATGCCTCAAAAAATATAAATATAATGTTTAAAGATTCAACAGAAAGTAATTTTGTACTTATGACTGTTTGTTAATCATAGTATAAATGAACAAACATTTGGTAAATAATTTTCCTTACCTCTTGCCCATTTTGTATAAGATGTACAAGTAACTCTGAGGCAAATTTAAGGGATATGCTTTGAACTTCAATGCTGTAAAAATAAATGTTAACACAGATACACCAAATTAAATCTTTAATAAAAATATTGTCATAATCAACAGGCAATCTGGCTAAAAATACAATAGTTCGTGCAAATTTGCTTTAAAAGCCTTATCTATTAAATATCTCCAAATATTTAAACCGACCCCCCCAAAAGGCCATAAAATCAGGTGCGGTTACAAGATGTCTTTCTTAAAAATTGGGATGTTTAAAACTGTAATGCAGGGCACAATCATCATTTTAAATTGAAGAACCTGTATAAGATTACATTAAGATTTTGAAATAATGTTTTCTCTTTCTATATCAAAGTTCATTTTCATTAGGCAGTCTGCAACCAGTAAATATAGATTAACCAAATACAAAAAGACAAGACAGCATACCTGCCAGACGTATTTGCAATATTCATAATCCAATGCAAGAACTCTCTTGGATTCATCTTTATAGCATCTTCCATCTTTGCAAGCACATTTCTGAGGTCCATTTTATACAGAGCCTCTAATATCTGTTCCAGAAAAAAAATTAGCTACAGGAAATACTGTTCTGAGTTTAATTGGAATATATAACTGGAATTTAATTTGAGAGAGAGAAAAAGAGAATGGCTTATTATGCTCATTAAAAACCCTTCCCCTTTACGATCCTGTAGCCCCTATTCAGACATATACCAGCACAAAATTTAATTTAATTTTAAATTCTTATTTTATTATATGTAACTTATTTGCACTAAAGAAAAAGAAAAAAAAAACAGGGGGTCACCTTGCAAAAACATTCAGGATGCTTTTCCTTAACAGCTATCTTAATAAGTGTGTCCTCCAAGCCAGACAGTAGATTCAACAGACCGTTTCCTTTTTCTTCCATCACATGTCTTGCATTCACTTGATGCAACCATAGCAGGATTGTTTCTAAGACTAATAAACGTACTTCACAAAAGTCTGAATGTAGCAGGTATTCAACTGTTAAACCTGGTTTCATTGTATTATTTTTAATAAGTAAATTCCTGTTTGCAAATCTAGGTTCTGCCATCACTGAACACATAGAGGTGAAGAGTCTGGTGATGCTCTGGAGAAACTGAGCAAGTCCTGGGACTGTAGGGGAATGCTTGATACCCGTTGCTAGTTCAGACTCCAAGATAATAGTGCTAATTTCTCCCCAAAATGTGTTCATATCTGTTTCTGAAATGAAATGAGATAGGGTGGTAGAATGAGAACGTATACAGAGAAGTTCAGGTGTGGTTACCACACTAACACTTAAAAGCATGCCCAACCTATTTAAATACATATAAATCATGGTCAAAGGGAAGTATCACATCAAATAAATTTAGCCAATGAAATAATTGTGAGCCTTAGTTGGTGTATTCATTGTTCCCATCAGAATGCCTTCACCATTGTAAAGAAAGGAAATAATTAGCATATCTGCTTACAGAACTGCTATATCATTGGCTGTATACAAATAGCAATTGATAATCTTTAGTCTGGTGTCCTGAATGAGCAGGCATCTGGAAACTCTTACATCTTGCAATATCTGGTCAGCTGCCGAGAAATTTATGAAAGCCAGGATGTTGTAATGCTCAAGGTACTAGACTAAGTGTGAGAAGACCCAGATCCTAGTCCATCTTTAGTTTAAGAATCTTATTGGATGACTTTAGACAAATCATCTTAGCCAATTCTGTTTGTGCCTCAATATCAAGAAAACTGCAAGAATCTGGAGACTAAACACGTCCACTCCATAATTGAGGTAGAAGATCATTGGAATGCTTTGCGATAGGCGTATGCCAATTCAGCTAAGATCAAAAGTGTATAATGTGTCTAATGTACTGTATGGAACCAAGTGCTGGCCAACCATCAAATGCAGTGAGTGCTCTTTACATGCCATGGGGATGTGCATGCTCCATTGGTCATTAGGTATTTAGCTTCTATCTATCAGGCAATCTAGCAGCTGATGAGTGTTGCATCAATATTAAGAGAAAATGTGGGAAACATGCCTACAATAGTAGGACCACATTTTACAAGCAGCACCTCCCACTATTGCCTGCACTGCCTACCACTTTAACAATCCAATCAAGTGGTCAGACTCCACAACTGGCCACAACAAAGAATCTCATGAGTTGTAGTCCAAACATATCTGAAGGGGACAATGCTGCCTAAGGCTAACTTAATGTATTTAGACAAAAATTATAGTATCATACATACTGTGCTTACCTGAAAATACAACCAATTGAACTGAGCAGGACTTAAGAGTTGGATACAACACCGTACAACACATTGCTATTTTATAGTTTTATTAAACAAACCACATATATACTGCAAAAGTTAAGATTGTAGGGGGAGGGGGAAAATAAATAGGAAAAGAAAATGAGCCTATATATTGTGAAACATAATTATTTAAAGCATGACATTTAAATTCACATAAACAGCATATTCTTTTTTCAAAAGAAAATCCATTATGGTTGCATAAGAATGCTAGTGATCTTTGTTATCAAAAATTAAGAACTATTATTCTTAATTTAGTATTCTAAAATACTTGGAAAAGGCTTTGATACTAAACAAAGATATTTGTGCCTCGTTATTTTTAGTTGTGGTAAATAAAACATTTTCTGTGGGGAAAAAATACTTTGATCTGAGACCATGTTTTTTTATCTATTATCTTTTCTCCTTCAATGAAACACAGATAAATTTTGAAATTAAAAACAATCAAGCTATTTAATATAAGTATCACTCTAGACAGATGAACTATTTTTCATATCCACTGCAACAGCTATCTGATCATTGCACTTCTGATGGGATTACAATATTTCTAGCAAACAAATCATAACTTGGAAACCAGCAAAAGTATCCAGTAATATATGCTTACTAATATAGGCTGTGTGTTCTCAACCTCTCATAACTTGAGCTCCACCAATTATTTTCCAAGAACCTGGGTCATACCTTGGAAAATGGTTCTTTCCCAAAATAGGNTTTGAAACCCACCACTGGTACGGACTCAGGATGTAAGCTGTTCTGAGTAAAGTTACCTTTTGCCATTGAATGATGATGATTTTGTCAATGCCGATGCTGTTCAAGTTGATTCTCCAGTTGCTTCGGGATTGCACCCAAGGTTCCTGTTAATAATAGTATACTATCTTTCTATTTGTTTTGCCACAGTCTTTCTACTTCTATTTGAATTGTAATTAAATATATTAATTGTATATAATTATAATTAGTAATAACTAATTATTTATTAATAATAATACCTTAGTAATTATATTTAGACTGCATTTTGCATTTTTGTCCACCTACTAAGTACATAGGATAGGCAGATGTTGTTTGACGGCATTAAAGGTACCACGATGTAAGCCTTTCTAAGTAAAGCTGCCTTTTCCAATTGACTGATGGTAGTTTTGTCAATGCTGATGGTGTTCAAGTGGTGCTCCAGATGTTTTGGAATTGTACCCAGGGCACCTATTGCTATTGGTATCATTTTTGCTCTCATAGTCATATCTCTTGCAGATCTCTGTATTTTGTGGTTGTTCTCCAATTCTTTCTCTTCTATTCTTCAGTCTCCAGACACCGCAATGTCCGCTATCAAGTTGTTATTAATAATAACGCCTAGGCTATCAAAATTACTCCTCTCCTCTGTAGGTTTATTATTCTCATGCATTATTTGGCATGATTTGCTCCGTAGCATCTTGAGTATTTATTAAGAAAGTTCTTGCAAAGCAAAGCACAACTATGAGAAGAGTGGCAGAGTATAGGAAGTACTTTCAATCGTTTGTGTGTTTGTGTGTGTGTGTGTGTGTGTGTGAGAGAGAGAGAGAGAGATCTCCAGTTCCTTATTTTTGAAAGCCAAGGCTAATTGCAACTTTTCAGTGTTCCCACCATATTGTAATATGGTATGAGCTTTACAATTTATGTTAAAAACTTGCAAATACTTCAGGAAAGTGAGGTGAGCAAATTCATATCCTGCATTCCAAACTATGGCTGTGGAAAAATCAGTCTATTAAGTTTCACCATCTAGCAACCCATCCTTAGCCCAATTGCAGAACTGTTTAATAGTGAGTAAGGTTGTCATGGAGTGTTAAGCAAGTCGCCTTTCCCTTTCATTCAAAGTATCTTGTTATACGGTGATTAGCAGCTTCATGAAGCCCCACATCTGATCACTGCAGTGAAGACTTTATGCTGGTTGACTGCCTCTCAATAAATTGTGGCAGTCAAGAAACATAACATCTAACTGACTAAAGGAACACTTTTGAAGTGTCCAGATGTGGGGGAAGGAGGAAAGAGAGGATTCTTGACTTTTAATAGGGAAAAATTGTCATGCAACACATATTTACTAGAAGTACATCTCCAAAGCAGTTATTAAGAGTGAAAGAATCCACTGTTTTGTACATCTTAGCCTTTGGAAGAAAATTAATCTAGCACAAAAACAAAAATTTAATGTCTGTTTGCTTTATTCTTAATAAGAGATTCATTTTTCAAAACTCCAGCACGTGATCAGAGTGTTTTGAACAAGCTTGATTTAGAAGTAAAATAAGTTCCCTCAAATAGAAGTTCAATTGATTTAAAGGGGAAAAAAATATTTTAAATGCACCAGAGAATATTTCTCAGACGTGTTGCAGAATGACCACAGCGCAGTATATCAAAAATAACTTCAAATCAATTAGAATTTGGGGGGGGGGCATTATATGAATTTAATTTGCTTTGCTGTATCTCCAGACGTCTGTGGTTCCCAAAGAAAAGAAATAGGAAATAAACGTGGAGGAATTATATCATGACATTTTTCACTTGCCCTTCATTGAAGTGCTGCCACTTCTGAGGTAGTCACCTAGAGAGAGGATTATGCAGTGAAAAACATAATATTCCCATGCATTCCTCAGCCACCTCTTCAGTTCATCCTTATAAGCCATTTATGAGAATTTTGCCAAATTGTTCCTCTCTCTGAAAATATTTTTAGCCTACTGTGTGACTGGTATGGGCATATAGCAATAGCAATAGCAGTTAGACTTATATACCGCTTCATAGGGCTTTCAGCCCTCTCTAAGCGGTTTACAGAGTCAGCATATCACCCCCACCAATCTGGGTCCTCATTTCACCCACCTCAGAAGGATGGAAGGCTGAGTCAACCTTGAGCCAGTGAGATTTGAACCGCCGAACTGCAGCTAGCAGTCAGCTGAAGTGGCCTGCAGTATTGCACTCTAACCACTGCGCCACCTTGGCTCATATATTACGCTGATCCATAGTGTTTTGATTTGAAAGAAGCTAGAACAATTTATCATGGGAATTATAGTACCATACAGGGAGGGATCCCAGGTAAAAGAAGTTCTGTCAAATTTCCTTTTGCTGCCAACCTTAAAAACTACATTTTTTGACTCTTAGTAAATATCAGGAAGCCAAGATTTTCATTTCAAGCTTTTCAAACTCTTTCAGAACTAAAAAAAACCCCACTGTTTATCTTTGAAACCTATTGATATAATATACATCTCCAGCTGCTCACTCAGATAAGGAAGCCACAACAGAGGATCTGATATGTCCACAGTATAAATTCATTTCCTTAGGGCTTTAAATTCTGAATTCACGCTTTTTTGAGTAGCATGGCCTCAGTTTCACCTGCTACATCATATTTGGCTCTTTTTTTTCATGCTCAGATTTAAAAGCTATTTTTGTTTCTTTATTTGGTGTCTATGGCTATTTATGTGGTTCCCTCTTCCCATCCAACAAGAGTTTTGCAGCTGCAGGATTTTTAAAAAACTAAATAAGTAAAGGGGAGAAAATTCTAGCATAATCAGTTATGGAATAAATAGACCATTTTACATTAGCAAACTTAGAAACTTGAAAAGTTATAGCACTGCTGGGCACGGTTACGCTGTGACCTTGCTTTTAATGATCCCATTTTCAGCCTACTTTATTTCTGTAGCTCTGGATAGTTGTTTTAAATGGAAACTAAATGAAATCAAGTTTTCTTCTTCTTCTTTCCAAAGTTTTAATAGCATCCATTGTGGAAGTCTGCATTCTGCTCTACAGTCAAAGCCCAAGAGAATTTCTCTTTTCTATCAACTTAACTGATAAGCTTTCTCCATATGGATTGTTATCATGCCCCCTTCAAATAAACGGTAACAGTCTCTGTATCTCAGTTAGATCACATGCTTCTGCAAGCATCAATTTGGGATGGGTTTATTCCCAGGTGCTAATAAAGAGCA